CCTGCCGAGCGGCAATTTGTTTGGACGTTTAGTTTTAGTTTTAGTTTTCGTTTTAGTTTGGAGCAAGGCCACAGAAGACGAGGAGGCAAATTAACGCGGCAGTCGGCACATAACTCGCCGTACGCATAAAACACGTTAAGTAATCAATTGCTGGCCGCATAGAGAACATCCATGGTCAAAGTTTCCTTTTTGCTTTGCCAAAGGCAACAATTGCCGCATTTTTAAGGGCCTGGAAACACGTGCAACATTGGCAGCAGCAGCTCCTCCTCCTGCTTCTTCTTCGAAAACTTCAAAGTGTCCTGCGGCATAATGCGCTTAATAAACCATGAATCACTGTCCGCGAGGAGGCTGTCAGAGCTTCAGCTGGGCAGCAGCAACAGCAACAGGAACAGCAGCAACAGCAGCAACATTGCAACGGCAACAGCAGCAACAGACGGCCAACATTGATTTTGTCACGACGCAAACACTTTAAAGGCAATTGCTGAAGTGCGCTGAGGAGAAGGAGAATCCTGCCTCCCAGCCTCCAGTCTCCTTTTGAAGTAAATGATGTGCGCATGTGATAAAGGGCCCGTCTTGGCCGCAAACGAGCTTTGGGCCAGGTTTACCCCACCCTTACCCTTACCTTACCCACTCCAACTTGAAGACCCTTGTTGCAATCCCTGTTGTCGCCGCTTGAGTGGCATAAAAAACGACTTGCACTTGGACTTGCCTTCTCCTTCGTCTCCTTTGTGGCCACCTCACCTCCACTCCCACTCCGTTGGCTTCAGATCCACGGGGGCTATCAACATTCTCAGGTGCGCCTGCGCGGCCTTTGTTTCGGCCATGGCCATTGGGCATCGACATTGCCTTCCTCTGAGCCTTCGCCTTCTACTTCGCTGTAGCCTTTGCTCTTGCCAGCTTTTGGCAGCTCCTTACTCAGCTGGCCGAAAATTGACTGGACATCTACAATTGCACGGCTAAAAAACATAGAAGGCCTAGGTTCAGAAAGAATGTTACCAAAATGAAGAAATTATAAAATGAAATTAAATCAAGGGTCAAATTTAGCCATAATTGACCTCCTTTATTAGGAACTATTATACTTAAATTGTTAAACAATAGTGAGATTTTTATTAAATTAATACCATTTAAAAAATACAAATATAATTTAAATATGATATAAATTAGGAAATTTAAATATGAACTTTACATCTTAAATTTATATCCTTAAAGAATATGTTCTTTTTAAGAAAACCATATTAATTGTGTTAATTTTTTAATTTAACGTACCAACTTGGAAAATAGTTTTTTATTAACGAAATATTATAACACACTACCTTTTCGAATTTGTATGTAAAAAAATTACATATTGAAATGTTACGTATTAAAAAGACATTTAAAAAATATGATCTTCTCTTTGTACGATTTAAATATAATAAATAATTATTTTATATTGAGAGTATCAATGGAGGAATTATATTCTAACAAATCTATTTTAGCATTTATTCTCCACACAAATACAATATAACCTCAATTTCTCTCACTGTTTTTATTGGCGAAATCCCTAAGCCCACCACTGAACTAGTTAAGTTGTTAGCTGGGCCCCAGGGATTTAGCGGGGGATTCGGCACTCGGGATTCGGGAGTGTAACCCCATCGGATTTTGCAGTTGCAGTGGCAACTGTTGCCCTCCTCCCCTTCCCCCCACTCCACTCCAAGCCAGCCAGGCATCATTAATCAGTTTGGGTTCATCAGCGGCAACATGGTTCATTAGCTTTGGTTGCTGTTGCTGATGTTGCTGCTGTTGCAGTCGATGTTGCTGTTGCTGTTGCTGCTGCTGCTGCTGCTGATGTTGCTGTTGCCGCCGTTTGGCGGCCTGCTGTCGACGATTCTAATCATAAGGCACAGCACCAGGAACGGACTGGGCTCTCGGAACTCGGATCCCTCCTCTTCTCTGCCGCCGGCAAAGTTAATTGGCTAGAAGTTTTGCATAGACCCAAGCCAACTCAGCTGCTACTTTGGCGGCTAAGTCCGAATCGTCTGCCTCGACTTATTTGGTAGCAAAACCAAAAACCGCAGCAACCTCGGGCATTATCAGCATCTGAGCCTCCTCCAATCCACCAAAACTCCATAGAGACCCGGCATATACTTTTGTATAGTGCATGTGGGCATAGGGCTCGCAGCTCCAACCATATAGTACTCGCATATATAGTAGTAAAGCTCTGGCAGTGATCTTGTCGCAGAGTCACGTCCGATAATGTTGACAGTTTCCAGCTGCTCCGGCAGCTACTGTTGTTTGGTTGTTTGGTTGTTTGGATGTTGGGTTGTTTGGCTGTCTGGTTATTTGGCTGACTCCAGGAGCGTGGGAATAAACCTGGCAACACGCTGCGACTTCGACGAGGTCCACATGTTGCCTCCAGCTACTCACACTCACCCATCACTTTGCTGGAGAAAGATTGAACTTTCAGAACTATAAAATATCTGTTTGTCTACCGAAAAATACTAAGTATACGGGAGGTTTAGAATATGCATTTTTAAATCCAACTATTGCGGAGATCCTATTTTTAAAGCTTATATAAATCATTTAATGAGTTGGGGAATTTTTTTAATTTATCCCTAACTTAATTTATACTTTTTTTAGGAATTTTAAGAAAATATGCCACCAACCCAATCCAATTTCTTTTTATAAAACTAATCGGAATCTCAAAGAATAAATAAAAAAAGAACAATTAAAAAAGGAGTTAATTTAAAAGAAATTGGTGACCAGAAAATGTATTTCTTCCCACTTACCCAATAAAATAAATATTAACTTTAATAACTTCCTAGTTTAACAAGAGATATCCCAATCCAATAAAAACTTTATAGTAAAAAAGAAGACATACTAGTAAGTTCTATAAAAAAGTAGTCAGCACTCCCAAGAATCTGAACCTAGGCACCATGCCAAACCAGCCGCCTTGGAGTCGTTGACAAATCGCGTTGGCAGCCAACAAGTCTATCAAAGCCTGACAACATTTGCATCTGGTTTGGGCCCCACTGCAGAGATAACTCGACTACATCAGGGGGCAACTTGCAACTTGCAACTTGGAGTCGAGTGGAGCCACATGTGCCTGCTACCGAGTTCCGCGACGACAGGATGCATAAAATTTATGAAACAACGACGCCTTTTGCGCACATAATTAAATCAGACAAAGCGTAGCTCATGTAAATCCCGCCAGCCGGGTCCAGCCCATTTCATCCCAATCCCCATGCCCATAGCCATACCCATAACCATACTTATAACCCATCCCACAGCTTCAGAGACACCAGCCACATCGCCACCGGATGCTGAGCCAGAAATGCAGCTTGACTATTTTTAATTACCGGGCAACATCTGCTCCATCTCGAGCTCCAGCTGCCATCCAAAGTGGGGTGGCCTTCAGTGGTGGGCAGTGGGCGAATTTTTCATACAGGTGGGGCTATAAATGATAAGTATAAAAGGTATTTATGCTTAAAAAAATACCTAAAAAAATTTCAAAACCTTTTTAATAAATATAAAAATAATTTTAATCCTTTTAACTCTTGAACATTTTTAATGCCAGTAAACGATGTTATGATATTACTATATACTTAAGTTAATCATAAAAATTTCTATAAATATTTAAATATTCTTTAAAAATCATATGTATAAAATCTGTATTTATAATGGAAATATTGGTAACCTATATGTGGAAAAAATTTGGTACCTTGGCTAATTCCTTTACTGCTTGATATTTTCCAAATGTAAAAGCCAGTGGCATCGGCACTGTAATTGTTATGGTTTGTCATGGGTTTGCGGATGGGATGGGTTCAGATTGGGACTGGGGTTCGCTGACTGTTTACTGGGTACACTTAAAATAAAACTATAAATAAAATCAATAAACTTCTCTAAGACACCTAGCTGTCCATAAGCTTGTAGGGTAATTTTTTTATAGTAAAGAAAATTATACAAATTTTTTAAATGATTTATGATGATTTTATTTTCCTGGATTTATGCCCCATTTATTTTTTCAGTGTAGGCATGCCGCATGCGAATCAATTACATATTACAGCCGTCGCAGCGATTAACTGCAGTGACTTTAGAGAACTGTTCAACACTAACCTGTTCCCCGTTCGAGTCGATGCCGCTTTCATTAAAGTGCAAATTATGACTTGCCAGTTCCGCCAGGTGTTGTGCCCGCCTGGCCTATTTGTCTTGAGTGGCTTTGGCCCGGCTTGGCTGGGAAAGAGCCACCGGGGCGTTTGGTTTAAGGCCTAAGCCGCCGCCGCAAAGATGGGGCCCTGCCCTTTACGTATGAAGTTATCAACGCCATCGTCGCGGCAGCCACAGCTCCACATTATTTACCGCACTTGCAACATTAATTGCTACCTGCAGTTGCAAATGACTCGGAGGCATTTCTTCTCAGCTTGGAAGCTAAATATAGAAAAGATATCACTTATAAATAACAAAGTGAGCTAAGGGTTAACATTTATTAAAAATAGTTTATTTACTGGATTCAATCCCAATACTTTAAAAAAAAAAAAGGCACATTACTTCATTATATTATCCTATTTTTGCCTATTTCACAACCTGGCTTGAAAAATGATGAATATCCCTTACAAATAAGAATATTCAATTAAGTTTTAATAACATTTGTTAAAAGTAATAACCAGAAATCAAAAGATAAATTACTTTATCTACATTCAACACAAATATTTTCTTTGGTTTCACATTAGTGGCATAAAACTGAAAATAAGACGTAACTTCGTTGCAATAACATTTTTGAAAATAATAACCAGAAATCAAAAGGTAAATTACATTTACTGGATTCAATCCAAGTACTTTTTTTGGATCAACTTAAAATGCATAAAACTGAACTTAAAAAGGGGTTAAGACTTCTTTACATTATCTTAAGTAAGCCTAATTTACAGCCTGGTTACAAAAAGGTTAATAATACTATTATTACTCTTCAAAGAGCAATTAGGAACAAAACGCGTCACATTTCCCTATCAAAATAAGTCTCCCTAAAATTACATGCACTTCATGCAGCGAATGTTTTCGATGAAGCAAAGAGTGCAGCCCTCGTGCTCTAGCACTTGCAGTTGAATATCCTCCTCGAGGTGTTTGTAGGCTATGTGCCAGCAACAGGAGCCGCTGCGCTTCATATTGATGATGCTGCATAGGAAGAGGAATGAAATTGATTAGGGAAATTAAACAATGAGCAAAAGAATAAGTAAATACCGGCACAAATACTTCATCACATCGTACAAGTGATTCAATTTGTCGCTCTTGATCATGTGCGAGATCTGCTGGTGGATCATATCCACGTCGGCTGGCCGGGGAATCTCCTCGCGACTGACCCATTCGTTCAGCAGGCTCTTGTAGCTGGAACCCATCAGCAAATTGGGCACTTCGTCCTTGGGACGAGAGATATACTCCAGAATGGCGGGATGCACGTGATTCGGCAGCTTATCGATGTACTCCGCCACAATTTCATCTGGTCGGATGCAGTGCTCCTTTGCCTTGCGCTTTTGCATTCGAGCCACAGCTGCCCGGGAGGTAGATGGCTTCAGATCGCTGGCGTTTAGGGGACTCAAGTCCGGTGAGCGGTTGCGTTTCATCATAGGAGGCGATGGGAGAGAAGGAAAACTAGGAGTTCCCGTTTTCCCAGCAGCATTTTCATCGACTTCCGCTATGCGCAGGTACTCATCCTTGTTGGCCAGCACCTCGAGGCGTATATCCTCCGGCAGCTGAGCCAGAATATCCTCATCGATCTCAGGTCCAAGGGGGATTATCTGAGCACTCGGCTTTACAGCATCCTTGCGAACTTTGCACTCGTTTAGCGATCTCTTTCCAGCGGCTGCAGTGAGCATGTTCATCACATTCCTGGGCTCCCTGGGCTTGACTTTCACTTCATCTACTGGTGGCTTGCTAAAAGCAAGTGGATCTGCAAGAGGTTGATCGTTTAGGGACTTCCTGCCCTTCAACATGGTCAACACATTTGGTTTAACTTCTACGGGGGCTTTCTCCACTACAGGTTTATCTAAAGGTAAATAACACAGGGTATTAGTATAATAAGTTCCCTAGGTTTGACTTTGATTCGACTACCTTTCTTCATCTCCGACATCTTGGAAAACATCTGCTTGAGGACGTTATCCTTTCGCACTTCGCTGGCATCCTCCAGCTTGGTTAAGTGAATGCCAATTCCACGCAGCTCGTGCGGCGGCAGATCGGCCTCTTTCATCAGGTTGAGGACCTGCGAGGTGATCACATTCACATCGTCCGTGGCATGTTTAATCAGTGAGGATTTGTTGATGGTATCGCAAACGCCGTGGCCCATGTACTTCGAAGTTTCGACGGGCGCTTCGGCGGCACGCACCATGATCTTTAGATTTATAGACTTGGTCTTGCGCTTGATCTCAACCAGACGCTTGGTCACCTCGTCGCTGAGCTGCCGCAGAAATTGTTCGCACTGGGTGGAGTTGGTGAAGCGAATGCCAAAGTTCATCTCAGCGGAGACCGTTTTGCGTTGCTAAAAGGGTTAAATTATTTAAAATAAATATAATCGAGAGAATGAAGATTTACCTGATCATAGGCCAAAGGACGATCATCGATGCCCCGGCAGTTCTGAAACAAATTCTGACCCAGCTTCTTGCCCAGCAGCGTTTCCAGCTTCTCCAGCGAAGTGTTCTGCACATCGCCGCAGTTTTGCAGCCCCGCCTGCTTGAGCTTGTGGCTCATGCTGCTGCCCACTCCGGGCAGGGATTCCACGGCCATGGACGCCATGTAGGCTAAAATATCTTGCTTGGAGTCCAGCAGGAACTGGCCGTTTGGCTTGGCCTCCTTGGTGGCCATGCGTGCCAGTAACCTAAAATCATATAGGTATTTATCATGTTTTATAGAAAAGGTTATCTAGTACCCACTTATTGGAAGCCACTCCCGCTGAGCAGGGACATCCCGTCTTGGCGAGTACCTCCTGCCTGAGATGCCCCACGAAGGCCATCACATCTAGCTTCAGTTCGTCCACCAGATCGGTTAGCTCCACGAACATCTCGTCGCAGCTCACAGCCTCTATATTCAGGGTGTACTGGGCCACAGTATCGTATAAACAGGAGGCCACCTCCTTGTAGCCCTCAAAGTCGTAAGGAATCGTCTTGAGCTCCGGACAGAGCTTCAGCGCCTGGCCCACGAACATGCCGTTGCGGATGCCCTTGGCCCGCGCCTCGTAGCTGCAGGAGGCGATCTCCGAGAGCGACATCTTCTTGTCGAAGCCCGAGCGCACCTTCTCCGCCTTGTCGCCGTCATGAAGCTGATGCTCGAAGCGCTGGGCAAAGAGCTCTAATTCAGCCTTTCTGTCCGCCTGCGGATGCACAGGCACATCGGTGGCTGCACTGCCTCCTTTGGAGTGGGTCACCGCAATGGGCAGGCCACGCAACTCAGGGCGGGATCTCAAACCCACGGATACAAAGAAGCAGTCCATGTCGATGTGCATTACAAAGCGATCTGAGGACATTCGATGGGATTTCTGGAGGGATTTCAATAGCTCCCTCTTGGGAAAACCCTGGGAGCCATGATCCTGACGCAGCTGGCAGACATACTGCTTGAAACCCGCTCCCAGAGTGGCTATATGATGCAGCCGGGAGTTCTTGTAGAACTCGCTCAGAAAGTTGGGATCTGCGGCTGTGCGGGCTGTACTACTATTTGATGTATTTGATAGGTTGGTGATCTTCGTCTCGGACAAACTGGCCTCCTTTTCCGGCGACGGGGCCACCACCGCCTGCTGCAGCTCCTTGAGAATCCCGCCCAGCTCATCCTTCGCAGGATCCACCTCCATTTTGCTCTCATTTACACTGGTTTCTGCCTTCTTTCCAAAGTTTAGCCTGGGCTGCGAGGTCTTCTGGTTGGTAAACAGCAAATAGGGCTTGTAGTCCACGATCTTTCCCTTCGCCAGGCAGTCCACCACCCACTGGGCGCCGATGAACTTGCTGAGATTCATGTTCCTGACCTTCACGTCCGGCAGAACGGAGGCGATGGTGAAGGTCGTGTGGCTCCTCTCGTAGTGGTTTAAGGTGCCGCCGTGCACCATCATGATCCGCTTCAGTTCGTCCGCCGACGGATTGGTCAGGCCGTTCACAAAGATCGAGATTCCCTGGAAAAGGTCGGACTTGCGAAACGGGTCACTCGCGGCGGCGAACTGCTCCTCCAACTTGGACTTCTTCGCCTCGAAGTAGCCGCCCTGTAAAGGTGATTTTTCGAGTGTTATTGGATGTATTATATAGTTTAGAATTAGCCTTACCCATTCACTGAAGCCATTATCTTCGTCGCGGGCCATTATTAAAGTTTTTAAACCATAAAATTCAATTTCACCAATTCTATGCCGCTCAGCTGTCAGCTGTCACTTTTGGCGCCAATCTGGCAACTCTGTAGTGGCAAGGTCGAACTTTAAATGTTTCAAGGGGGGTTTATTTATTAAGGAAATTATAATTACAAATAAATAAATTTTTAATTAAGGAATAATATTTAATTGATTAGAACCATCTAAATTACACAATAAACATTCAACCCCTTTTTGACTACGCCCTTGTCTCTTACCACAGCTGATTGACACTTTGCCGTTTTGCAACACTTTCGATTGTTTTTTATATCGATATCCGCATTGTATATTATTTTGTTTATTTCTACAAGTTTTTTGCAAAATGTGGAAATACGGGCAAAACCAAGGCAACCAAGGCGGCGGTGGCTACCCGTTCCCGCAGCAGATGCAACAGCAGCAGCAGCAGATGATGCAGCAGCAGCAAATGGGCATGATGGGCGGCCCGGGCGGCATGCAGATGAATCCGCAGGTTCCCCAAGGAGGACCCGGCAATCTGATGCCCGGGATGTCGCCGCAGCACCAAATGCAACAGCAGCAGATGATGCAGCAGCAGCAACAGATGATAATGCCGCAGCAGGGAGTTGGAGGCGTGGGAATGGGCGTGGGCATGGGAGGAGGAGGAGGGGTGATGCCCCAGCAGCAGCAGCAACCGCAACAGCAAAACCTTCCCCAGCAACAGCAGAACATTCCCCAACAGCAACTCAATCCCGTGGGCGGCGGAATCCCACCTGGCGGAGGCGGCGGCGGCGCAGGCACCAACAACATGCTCGCCATCTCCCAGCAGAATCCCCACAAGGAGATCAACATCGTGCAGCTGTCCCGCTTGGGCCAGGAAACCGTCCAGGACATCGCCTCGCGCTTCCAGGAGGTCTTCGCCTCGCTCAAGAACATCCAGCCCACCTCGCACCGGGACAACAACACCGAGAAGAAGGTGCAGGAGTACTTCCGCACCATCCGGCTGCTCTTCAAGCGGGTGCGCATCATCTACGAGAAGTGCAACGACGCGGGCATGGACTACATGAGCGCCGAGAGCCTGATTCCCTACAGGGATGAGCCGGAGCCGCGGATCGAGCCCTCGCAGTGCGACGAGTACCGCAAGGTCCTGCAGGAGAACCACGAACTCATCGAGACCGTCAAGTTGAAGAACAGGCAGCTTAGGGAGATTATCGACAGGACTCGCATCATCATCTGGGAGATCAACACCATGCTGGCCATGCGGCGGTCTTAGGCTTATAGGTTCTACTTAGATATGGTGTTAAGAATTAAATAAAAATACAAAACATTGCCAGCAAGGAATCGAAAGGGTTTTAATTGGGCTTTGCTATGGAATTTTTGTAACAGGTCGAAGATTTTTAATTCTTTTTTAATTTTCCCTTAATAACAAATATGAAAAAATTAAATACATGATCCTAAGTCAACTTCTTATCAGTTCCGACTAGAAATAAATGTGCCAAATTCTTATCAATCCTAAACAAATATTCAAAATATTTGAAAAATCTTTATTATCACCACAAGTTGCTCTCTCTTCTGCTATAAATACGAAGCTTTTTTCAGCGTTAGCTCATTCTAGTTTCGGAACTATGCAGTTGCTGGTGAGACTAACCGATAATTCAAGTGATTATCAATACTAACTTAAATTCCTTTTTATAGTCATTTTTAGTGCTTATCTTAGTGGCTGTCCATCTGGGGACAGCATATCCTACTTACTACGACGACTCTTATGAGGACGACGACGACCAGAGACTATGGCGTGGCTGGCTTTGCCGTTGGCCGGGGTCAACGATCAGAGATCACTTCAGATCTTCCAGTGAACGGCCAGGAGAATGAGAGCAGAAACACAGACCCAATAACAGAGGGCCCCTAATCCGGCTCTCTGGATTCGGTACCCGAAAATATAACGCATATACAAGGTGTAAAAATAAATTGTTTGAGAAATCTAAGCTTCTGAGTTCAGTTGTTTTAATGGGTTCTAGAAACCTTACTTAACACAATTTCCTACTGATATAATGTCCCCTATTTGACCTGGTCGTTGGGGTTAGATAGAAGTAATTAAACGCAGAATAATATTTGATGCTCAAATGTCTTATCATTTCCTATTTCAGATGAATAAAACATATAACAAATTCTTATCACTTTGCACTTAATGCTCAATAATTCCCAAAAAACATCTTTATCGCTCTCCGATTCGCCTATAAATACGAACCTTATTCCAGAGATAATTCATACACGTTTGGAAACTGAATTTACGATGAAGCTGCTGGTAAGTTAAACAGATCCTACAGGATGTCATCAATATTAACTGGAAAATATTTTTGCAGGTATGCTTTGTGTTGGTCTTGGTGGCTGTCTATCTGGGGAGAGCAAGTCCTTTTTACAACTGCGACTCTTATGAGGACGACGACGACTATTTCCGCTATAGGGCTCGCTGCAGCCCATGGGATGCCTGGCGTTTCCGTTGGCCAAAATAACCTGAAACGGGTTAGGGCAAGAGAATGAGGGCAGGAGCTCAGACCCAATAACAGAAGGCCCCCCAATCCGTCTCTCTGGATTCGGTACCCGAAAAGAAGCAGAAGAAGCCGGATACCACAGCAATTTTGAAAAAATATACCTTCGTTATAACGCATATATGTACAATGTGTAAAAATAAAATGTTTCAGAAATCTAAGCTTCTAAGTTCAGTTGTTTTAATGGGTTCAAGAAACCTTACTTAACCTAATTTCCTATTGATATAATTACCCCTATTTGACCTGGTCATTGGGGTTAGAACATAGAAATAAAAAACACAGATTGATATTTAAGGTATTTATGCTCAAATGTCTTATTATAAATTCTTATCACTTCGCATTTACTGTACAACAATAAAAACAAAATTTAATAAATTGTTTTAAAAATCTAAGCTTTTGGTTTTTATATTTTATGGGCTGTAACTTTCCAAGTTAGGTTTATAATTTAAATCTGTCCCTAAGACATCTCCCTAATATAAAATTATTAGTAATAATTGTAATGCATAAATTATTCCGAATAAAATAAATAATACAGTTTCATCTGGGTTATTTAAATTCAAGAAGTGCGCAAAACGGTTCGATAATAATCGCATCTCTTCTCAGAACTATCGACTATAATCAATCGATAAACGGCTGCCAGGAAGAAGCAGAGTTTGTTGTGGGCGACAGAGATTTTTATACCGAATTTACCAGTTGAAAAGGAATTAATTTAGCAAATCAGTTAATCAAAACATCCGCAAAGATGGCGAAAATGGCATTTCAGCACCAGGCCGGCACGGCGATGGAATGTTTGAGCGTGAGTGGCGAATGAATTAAACCTGGCTCACACGCACACCGTCGCAGTGCGTGTGTATTGGTGAAATTGGGTCGCTGGAGCAAAAAAAAAATAAGAGCCACTTTCATATTTGAACAATAGATTTACGCGACCTTTTACTATCCCCCAGATTCCCATCACGCTGCACAAGGAGAAGGACTACGACCAGGAGGGACGCGAGATCCTCAAGTGCGGCTTCAAGATCGGCGGAGGAATCGACCAGGACTACAAAAAGAGTCCACAGGGATACACGGATTATGTGAGATGCTAGGGAAATTACACTTGGGGAAAAATACTATTGGGAACCTAATTCTTCACTTAGAAAAAGGGCTTTAGTTAAAACGTATTTTTTAAATATTTTTTTTTTAAGCTCAGTAGTTCTTAAATTTTTCAAACTAAAAATTACTAATAAGGTGTCTAAAAGCGCAGATTAATTATTTATTTTAATTTAAACGGAGCTAGGGAAACTACACTGGCAGAAAATACTATTGGAAACATAGTTCTTGACTTAAAAAAGAGAGTTTTAGTTTAAAAGTTTATTTTTAATATTTTTTTTATTTATCTCAGTTATTAGTTGTTTAATTCTCAACCAATTTTTTCTGTTAGCACTCTAAATTAAATTAAAAAATTAGTAATTAGGTTTGTAAAAACGCAGATTAATTTTAAAACTATTAATTTTTTATTGTTTTTCCGTGAAAGAATACTAAATTCCTAAGATTTTTAAATTGTTTTCTCGAAAACTCTTCTATTTTTATGAGAATTTTGTACTACCCTTGCTATCCCCTTAAAACTCCTCACTTTATTAATGTGTTTCCCTTCAAAATACAGGGCATCTATGTGACCGAAGTGCACGAGGGCAGTCCCGCCGCTCGAGCAGGCCTACGGATCCACGATAAAATCCTCCAGTGCAACGGCTACGACTTCACCATGGTCACCCACAAAAAGGCCGTGAGCTACATCCGGAAAAACCCCATACTCAACATGTTGGTGGCCCGCAAGGGCGTCACCTCCACATAAGTGGACTCCGGAGCAGGACATCCAGTCTCCAGTATTGAAGCGGCATTTAAACTAACCCTCCACCGCCTCTCTCGGCCAAGGATCTCTCTGCCCCTGCAACCTATCCGACTACCTAGATATACCGTATTATATATATATTATACACATAACTTATGCATATCGCACACTCGTATGTAGCCAGCCGAAAATGTAGCACCTAGTAATGCTTCTTGTGGACTTCGATTTCGATTTCTTTGCTCCTCCATTGCTCCATCACTTGTTGAACGAATCGCCAAGCGCCCGAGCGCAAAACAGATTGCCAAATACCGATATAAACAAACAGTTCCACTAACCGCAGACGCAGACTCGAATATGTAAACAATTTTGTACTTTTATATGTGCAGACCATTCCAAAAAGAACAAACCGAAGCAAATGACGAAACATAGATACATTCATAGTACGTACTTGTGATAAATGACTTTAACTGTGCAGATATGTGCGAAGAAGGCGCATCACTTAAGTTTTAAATTGAGTTTTTAATGTTGAATTGCATTTGAATAAATGTTTGCTAAATAAATGTGCGATTACTCATTATGGATTACCCAATTCTGATTAAAATCTGACTTGTTATGTTTACTGCGGGGCTAAAAATGCCCTATTACCCACCTTGGCAGCGACCTTAATTACGCGATTGCGGCAGCCAGCGGTCACCAAAAACAGCGTAAACAGACGGAAAAGTTACATGACAACAGCGAAAAGCCTTTTTTAATTACAAAGTACTTTGGATTTACATACACACACGGGCACACATCGAAAAAAGAGGGGAAAGGGGGATAATACACGAAATTTGTAAACAAATATACACAACTAGAGGCAAATAGAAGTTGCTACCTGACGATGCAGTAGCTCAGGAACTACTTGTTGGCATAGCCATTGGGGTTTTGGCTCTGCCAGCGCCACGTGTCCTCGCACATCTTGTCGATGCCGCGCACGGCCTTCCAGCCGAGCTTCTGGTCCGCCAGCGAGGCGTCCGCGTAGCAGGTGGCCACGTCCCCGGAGCGCCGGTCCACCAGCGTGTAGTTGACCTTCTTGCCAGAGGCCTTTTCGAACGCCTTCACCATATCGAGCACCGAGTAGCCCACGCCGGTGCCCAGATTGTACGCGAAGAAGCCCGTCTCCGCGATGTTGCGCAGCTTGTCCAGCGCCTTCACATGGCCCTCGGCCAGGTCCACGATGTGGATGTAGTCGCGCACGCCGGTGCCGTCGTGCGTGGGAAAGTCGCTGCCGTAGACGCTCAGGCTGGGACGGCGGCCCACTGCCACCTGGGCGATGTAGGGCATCAGGTTGTTGGGCTCGCCGTTGGGGTCCTCGCCAATCCGCCCGCTGATGTGGGCGCCCACGGGGTTGAAGTAGCGCAGCGAGACGACAGCCCAGCGCTAAAAGAGATATTACTTTAGTAAATATAATTACAGATCAGAAATCACTACCCCACCTTGTCCGACTTGCACAGATCCTTGAGAATCTCCTCTGTAAAGTATTTGGTCTTACCGTACGGCGATGTGCAGTTGCCCGTCTGGTGCTCCTCGGTCACGGGCAGGAACTTGGGCTCGCCGTAGACAGTGGCACTGGAGCTATACACGAACTTGAACACGTTGTTGTCGGCCATGGCCTCTAGGAGGACATTGGTGCCGGTCATGTTGTTGTGGTAGTACTGCAGTGGAATGCGGCAGGACTCGCCGACGGCCTTCAAAGCGGCAAAGTGGGCCACCATGTCGATTTTGTGCTGTAAAAAATATATACAAAATTAATTATTAATCAAAATATCTTTTTTAGATTTTTATGTCAATCCGTTCTGGGTGAAATTCGCTACTGACCGTTTTTTAGAGAGCCAATTTTATAATAGTTTAGATTAACATTTTTATGGTCAACAGCCAAATAAAGGTTATTAAAAAGCAAACAAATACTTTATATATAGCTGATTTAATGCTGATTAGCAGGAATGGCAAAATCTATTTAGTAATCAGCAAGTGACGTCCAAACTGTTGGTTTAAAAATATGAAAAACATAAGCTTTGTCTAGTCAAAGCTCACATTTCATGGTTGTTTGGGCAATAACAGGCTTTTTCGTGGCTTCAGTGAGCATAAATAAACCTTTTTGTGGATAGAAAACTGCAGTAAAAGCGAAAACCTGCCTAGAGCAGCAGATTCTTACGACAATCGGTACATGTAAACATGGTAATCTATCTCTTTGACCTCCCAATCTTCTGAAGTGCATCGTACGTGCCATTATTTGGATGCCAGCGCACCAAGTCGATTGGGTCTACCATTCAGGGTCGATTAGCTGAGTTCGTCGGAAGTGCCCGACCACTTGAGCAAACAAACGAGAAAAAGCTGATAGCGCGCATGCCAGATAAGGCTGATTGAATGGTGTGGTATCCAGTTGGCATATGTAGTATGTTATGTAGAACTAGAACTGCTGACGTGCCCACAGAAAAAAAAACGATATGAAATAAGGTTATTTCTACCTTATTTCATATCAACATGATATTTTATCATATCAAAACAAATACCAAATTTAGTATTTTTGAGGAAATAAGTACCAAAATGATATGAATAACTTGAACTTGACTTTAAAAATATCAAATTGACCAATACCAATTTTTTTTCTGTGCCTAGTATTCGTATCTCACCTCCTGGAAAACGGAGCGCACTTGCTCCCGGTCCGTAATGTCCACCCTATAAAAGTGGACCTTCTTCCCGGTGATTTCCTGCACCCTGCTGAGAGCTTCCGGTAGCTTCGCTCCACTGCTGTAGGCGTTGCACAGGTTGTCCACGCAGATGACGTTGTAGCCCGCGTTGAGCATCTCCAGAACCGTGTGGGAACCAATGTAGCCGGCTCCTCCGGTAACCAAAACGGTGGGTGGGGCCATCCTACAGAGAAAAACCACAAAATTAGGCCACACGAGCGCGGAATTCTCATTGACGTCACCAAAAACGCGAAACTCACCTGTTTTACAGGTGATTAACGACGAGATGCCCCGTTTAGTGATTCAGTTTGGCTAGACGAGCGAGGCGGGTGCCCTTGAAAGTTGAGAGATTCGGATTCCGAAGCCCAAAACTTGGATCTTGATGGGATTGCAGATGGAGATGAGATGAAGATGCCAAAGATCGCTGACCGTCGAGTGTTAACGCTTCCTAACCTGTTTTTTCGCACGTCTGTTTTGATCCGCGGTCGCTTGCCAAGTGAGCGCTTTTGAGAGCCCACATAGCCTATTTAACTCGGTTCTCCGGAATCTTCGTTCTCCGAATGCCTGCTTCTTATCAGTTTCTGGAGTGTCGCGCTCCCTTGAGTGCTAACTGCCGGCTGACTTGCTCTGTGGACTGCGGGGGTCACCCTCGATGTGCATCCTTATCGCTAATGACCTTTGGCTGTGTTTTCCATGCGAATTTCAGGTTTATTTTATGCAATTTTCAAGGGAACTTCTCTCTTCTGCTTCTTCTTGCACCGCTTTGTTTTGGTATTTTTGGTGGTATATAAATACCGGAAAATCCCTGCGAAATCGAATATCGATTACTTACCTTACTTTATTGGTGTTATCGATAGTTATGTTAAATTTAACATTACATTACATGTAGAGTAGATTACATTACATTGACTTTTTAACGGAAAATTTATTTAAACTTGCATTTCGAATTCTAATTTACTCTAAGCTGTTACAAATAATAGTGACCAAGCTTTTTGGTGACCCAAATTCCTTTCGAATTCCTAATGATAAGCGGAAGTGCATGTGCTCAATACGCCACGAAAAAAAAGACCACATTTCATTTACAACTTAATTAAGAATGTATTTGCGCAGCAGCGAATCTCTCAATGAAATGCGCCTGCTTTCGGTTCTGAATGAATGGAATGCATGAATGGATCGAAAGCTTTAACCCAGATTGGGTTTATACACACACTCTGAACGCCCTTATCTCAAGGGTTTGTTTTTTGATTATCGGTAGAGGTATTTACGTAGTTTTATGTGAGATCTATTGGGCAATTAGCTTCATATTTTGGGTACTTATTTCCATTTTCTTCATCGTTGGGGAACACAATCTTTTATCATCAAGAAACGGATCGATTCTCCAACGCAGAAAAACCCAGTCGATAAGAACATAAGACCCATGTTTACCGCACTCTGTGTGTATGCTTTCAGATTCTCGGGCACGGGCACTCACACATACGGACAATTGAGGATCCGGCCGACACATAACCGGAAATGAGTTAGTTGAACTTCCGTCATCGCTCGCCTCTGGATGGCGCTGGCCTGCAATATTTTTTATGTGAGCGACAATAATTTGCACAGTCACAGAAACAGAAAACAGAAATGGAAATGGAAATGGAAAGAGAAAGACAGAGAAGTCTCAGTCTCGAAGTGGAAGTGGTCGTCGTTCCTACAGTTATGTGTATATAATGTGGTGCGGTCTGGTCTACATAGAGGCAGTACTACACACTCAAGCTCCCAATCCAATCCAATCTGCGTACATATGACATTATGGGGCGAGCATTATGGTTATGGCATCGGCATTATCAGTTCGGTCCGAGAATCACTATTCTGGTTGTGCTGTGCTGTTCTGGTGGGGTTAAGGTTTTCGGGGGGTATTTTTGGACTTTTTCGGGCAGGCGACCTGAAGATTGCGGACTTTAAAATAACTTGAGCCTTAACAGAAAAACAAAACAATTGCTAGAAGTATAAATGAGTTAATTAATAATGATATTATATATGTTTTTACTATTATTTTTTATTAATTGCTTGTTTTATTTCCGAATTTCAATTTATTTTGTAGATTTCTAGGTCTATCCGTTTTTCTGCCCGGAATTTTTATATTATTTCCCACACTCCTTAACGATCCCAAGAAAAAGCGTACACGCATGGAACGCGTAGAATTTACTTCGTTAGATTAAATGTAAATTTCGGTTATCCATCTTAATAAAACCAATTTTCCGCATTATTGTTTACGCCCGATAATCATCTGTGTTCTGTATTCTGCGCTCAGTGAGAAGTTGAACCCACCCCACATAAGCCCGGACTCTGGGCACTTCAATTTGATTTCGGGAAGGGGGCAGGGGAAAAATGGGGAAATAGAAATAGTGAAAGTGCTGCACTTTTCACATGGCCCTGATCCGACGCAAGACCGACTTGGCCTGGGCCACCATAAATGTTTATCACGAATTAAGCAATTTATATTTCGTGGCGTTTTTCTTCTTTTTCGCCTGGCAGAACCCGCATGGCCCGGCTGAAAGTTTTTCAGTTCCTAAATTGAAGATATGGAAAATGAAATTCATAACGCACATACGAACATATAATTAGCCAATTATCTAAAACTTTTCTACGCGCGATCCGAATTTGAGACTACGAATACATAAATTCATCACACTTGAATGCTCGTCTATACATATATCTGGGTGGACTTTTTGGAGACAAGGCACTGTAAAAATATCATTATTTTCTGATACTAAATTACATTTAAATTTTTTATATAATATTTTAAAAAAGAAGAAGTTTAAAAAAGCCTTCGAAATTTAAACTCATGAAATTATGAAACTTATGTCTAAAAGTAGGCAACATTATTTTTTACTGCATACTTTTAGACACCTTTTTAGGGGATTTCAAAATTCCAAGGGATTTACCCTATGAGTGATTTAAAAAATGTTTATTTAACTCAAACTAAACCGCATTTTTGAGCAGTGATGATTTTTACGATTCTTGGCTTGAATTCGAGTACGATTCTCGGTCGTTTGAGTAAGTGGAGTACATGCGCATGTGCGGCGGTTGGGCAAAACTTTTTCCCACCAACAACCAACAGGAGACACTGGGAAGCAACAACTACAACAACTGGCCAAAGTTTTACGCAAGTTCTCGACTTTCCAGTTGTCAGTGATCTCATTTCGTTGCTGTTTTTTTGTTGTTTCTGTTTTTTTTGGCAAAACTACCACAAAGGCTTAGAGGGGACTATACTTTGGGTTTCTTCGGTGGGGTGGGTATTTAGGGTATTTCGGCCTAGCAACAGGCAACAAATGATGAACACGTGTGCTGGCGAGGAAGATATAGTATGGTATAGTACAAGATATAGGGGGCAACCACCCCGAACGGAATTGGAATCGGAATCGGGGGAAGTCGGGGATCTTCTGCGGATCTCTGGTTGGCACCCCTTCGGTTTCACACACTTTTTACTTTTTTACGAGCTATTGATGGCAGTGGCAATGGGCTTATGAATATGAATAGATCGCCCTACTTCCTACCTGAATCGTTACCCCAAGGTAATGGCAACTTAATAAGACTTCTTTTCCTTGAGGATCCGTTCGGGTTCGTTTTCGTTTTCGGTTTCTGGTCTTCCAAAAAACGGGGTTAATGCGACAAAAGCGCATTCATACCATAGAAAATTTAATTAGTTGTCTGTGTTGGCTGCCCTGCCCTCGGGGCATGTTTATTGTTGCGAAAATGGGAAAAATATGAGGCAGGGAGGCAGGACGACGGTGGTTGTAGCAGGAATAACAATGAGATCGGATACATCTGCATATTGTCTGGTTGGGCAAAACACGATCGAACACGATGCGAAAACAAACTTCAAGTAGCGCCGACCATCTGTAATTTATGCCCTATCTGCATTGTCCTTTTGAGAACTTACAGGATTTTCACAGGGGTTTCTTTATTTCTGGTTAAGTAATCTCGACTCGATCGTTAGCAGGGTTTCTTCGGGTTCTTGTTTTCCTTTTACACCCTTTTTAATTGCTCCTATTCACCGGGGATTACTAATTATTATAGTTGGGTTTTTGATTGCCAGCTATAAAAATATTGTACAACATTTAATTATCATAATTGCATGGCCTTGCAATCAAATATTTTGAAAAGGGATCAGTAAACATATTTTGTGTCCGTTTTCTCATCCTCCAGTTAAAGTGAAAGTAGGATTCTAACCTAGTTTTGGAATTTTGGAGTTTAAAACCTACTTTAAGTTAAGCAGGAGTATAGAAAAACAATCTTCAGCTTCTGAAATTTTAAGCAGAGATCCTTGAAAAACTATTTTACACATGTAAAAATTTAACCTTAGGTTTAAAACGAAATTCATATATTTTAAAAACTACCTTTAATCTCCAAACTCTACCCATGTTACATTTCACCTTCATTTATGAACAACGCAATTTTCAAAAAAAAGAAAACTAACTCAAGGCAATTTCCTTCAAGTTTCCGGAACCATTCAAATCAGGATCTGGCTGAGCGCGTTTCCTTTGCGGTGTGCTGGTGATATAATCTCCGTGGGAAATTCGTGGAGGAAAACCGAATCACACGAAAACGTGGCCAACGTGAAGGCCAGCCCAAAACCGAACCCAAATCCAAGCCCAACCCACATCACCTGGCCAAGAAAAAGAGTACAATGGAAAGTGCATTAACAGAGCCTCCGGTGATTTTTTGTTCAGTTTTAATTTTTTTGTAGTTTTTGTATTCCTCTATTGCGGCAATTGCGGCTCATTTCTCTTGGCCCCCAGATGTATCTGTAAATGTATCTGTATCTGCGGCTGCAGCTGTATCTATGTATCTGTGTGCGGAGTGCAGAGCGAAGCTTTATGGCCAAAAGACCCCAGCACTCCTCCCCTTCCCCCCGCCAACTTTCCCGGTTAGTGCCACCAGTGCCACCGGCCACATTCCGATGCGTATCCGGGATTGTGAAATGTTTTCATTTCAAGAAACGGAGACACATTTACCGCCGTCTAGCGTCTGCAAGCCGTCTGTATCTGTATCTGAACATGCACTGTATCTGTATCTGTTTCACTGCACTCACAAAAATATATTTTAAAAGTTCCCTAAAGATATTATCTTAGATTTGCTACCAGTTAATAACCTAAAAGAATCTGCATTCTAAAAATATAATATATGCATTTTCTTTGCAGTTAAAGTAACTTCAATTTAGACTCGTACTAAAAGGGACAGAGTTCAAAACCAACTGGGAACTAGAAAAGTTTTTCTTTTAAATTTTAATTTATATTTAATATTAAATAGATATAATCCTCTGTTGAACCTCAGTATTTCAGTAAATTTTTCTTTCTTTTATTCAACCAATCAGTTAAATTTCCTATTTTAA